TTAATATTTAATATTTAATAATTTTGAATATACAACAATTAAAAAAAACTATTGATATTTTTTAGGTGACTTTGAAAGAGAAAAGATAGAGATAGGAAAAAAAGAGAACGAAAAATTTCAAATTCTTACTTCTTTGAAAGAATTTGAAATTCTACTATTTTAAGAAATTTTACAAATATTTGGATTTCAAATTCTTTATAAATTCTTCATCCAAACAAAACATTTCTTATCTAAACACACTCTTAGAGTATGATAGGGGTTTTATGTGAAATTTTGATATCATTGACGGGGCTATTTTCCTGTGTGAAAGGAGTGTGCTCCTTTGTACATTTCTGAAGTATTCTTTCATAATAAATCAGTGGAACCATTCTTTTACTTTTGTTCTCCCTCTCTGCTATTACCATCAGTCTTTTTCCCTTACATTTTCAAAAGGATTCCTAACAGTATTTGCTTCTAAACTCTATAATCACGACCATTAGTGCCTTCATATTATAAGGGTTCTACAATGTAATTTATTTCAACCTATTACTTTAAGCAATTACCTCCATAAACATTACAAAATTTGTTACATTTATATTGTGATACTAGAAACTCCATGTACTATTCGTACCGCGAAGCCGAGCTCCAAGCTCGGCATCACAGTGCAGGACGACCTCGGACACGCGCTGGGCGACCTCGGCCAAGACGAGGTCCGCTACCTAAATAGGTCATAACTGATCTCAGGCCCAAGGTCCAATAAAACCCTAATTCACAAACACTAACTTGAGCATCGGAGTCTCTTTTGCAGGGACCACCCCCATCTTGGAGCAACAAGCGTACCCCTGAAGGAGGCTCGTCGATCTTACCCAGTAAATCGTCCCCTACGACCGATCTCCGGTAAGAACATTTGGCACCCACCGTGGGGCCGATCAAGACAGCTCTTATCGGCCATGCTTATGGTTTTCACCCGAAGCCATAGTAGACGCATAACAGACAACGTAGATTGCACGACAAGCATGGACAGCGAAGCAGCATTGAGAATGCTGATCGAGCAGGTCGAACAAATGCGATAGTAACACACCGCCGATCTGCAAAACATCCGTGCCAAGCACAAGACTGACCTAGCAGCGCTGCGCACCGCTAACGAAGCTGACCTAGCGGCGCTGCGCACCGAGAATGAGCGTATTCGCGCCCAGCTTCCTCGGAGCCCCTCTGATCAACCCCCTCAACCGAGTAACCAATACGAGGAAGAGGGGCACTCGGTTTCTCAACCACCGACTGCACCTAGGGCACCAACTCCTAGGCCTGCCACACATTGGTCACCCGCACTGACGAACAAGTCGGCCCACGAAGTTAGCATCGCCCCTGCCCAGGCCCTTGGGAATTGGACGAGCTTTCGTCGCCATCCTTTTGTGAACGGCATCATGGAGACGTCTCTCCCTTTCAGTTGGAAGCCCCTCCACATCGACCGCTATGATGGCACGACGGATCCGGACGAGCACATCGACCTGTATACTACACAGGTGAACCTTTACACTAATGAGGATGCTATTCTGTGTAGATTTTTTTTGACCTCGCTCAAGGGGGTCGCACTCAATTGGTACACCTAATTACCGGCTGAGTCGATCGACAACTTCAACACTCTGGTAAAGCAATTCACGGCTCAATATGCCACGAGTCAACCTCACCATGTCACATCGGCCGCCTTGGCCAGTCTCAGGCAGGGCGACGATGAGTCCCTGAAGACATTCATGGAACGCTTCGCCAGCATCTCGGTCAAGATTCGAAATTTGAATCCCGAATTCGCCCTACATGCCATGCTCATCGCTCTCAAGCCTGGACCTTTTGTAGACAACCTGTGTCATGAAGCTCCCCGTGACATGGACGAACTCCGTGCCCGTACTGCTGGGTTCATCCAGATGGAAGAGCACTCAGCTTTTCATGACCAGATTCGCGGCAAGTCACAGGCAAAGCCAGACCATGGTCACAAGGACAAGACGAAGGTCAACAATGACAATCAGCTCAAGAAGTCTGCCAGGGCAAACAAAGGGGGGAGATACGACTTTTACACCCCCCTGAGTGCACCCCGAGTACGCATCCTGGAGGAAGCCAACAACAACAACTTGCTCACTCTACCACCACTCGGGCACAGTCCCAACAACGCGGACAGGACAAAGCACTGCCGGTACCACAGAAACCACGGTCACACCACCGAGGAATGTTTTACACTCCGGGATCGTATAGAGGAGCTCGTCCAGGTGGGACACCTCGGGCAATACGTATAGCGGCAGCAAGGTCACCGAGGAGGTTGCAACGGGCGAGGGCGAGGGCGAGGTCTCGGTGCAGGCACCCACATAGACCAACCCTCTAGATCCCAACAAAACACTGGTGGCGTAGTGGAGGCTGAGGTAAGCCAGGAAACAGGGTCAGCCCCTTTGCGGGGCGTCATCAACACAATTGCAGGTGGTTTCGCAGGGGAAGGCTCTAGCAGCTCGGCCGAAAATGACATTTGCGCAGCATCAACAATGTGCACTCCACTACCTCAGCCTCGCACCAAAGCACACCACCGATAACTTTCACCGACGACGACTACACCGGCATCTGCCCCAACCAGGATGATCCAATGGTCATCGTCGTGGAGGTTGCTAATTGGGAGGGGCACAAGACGTTGATTGACCAAGGGAGCTCGGCTGATGTCGTATACTGGCCGACGTTCCTCAGGTTAGACATCCCTCACTCCCTTATCCAACCTCATACAGAACCTCTAGTCAGTTTTGCAGGAAAGCGTGTTCACACTCGAGGGTACGTGGACCTGTTGACAACCTTCGAAACCTCTCCTGACTCAAGGCGGATCATGGTCTGATACCTCCTCGTGGAAGCCAACACGTCTTACAATATCATCATTGGAAGACTAACTTTGAATCAGCTCGGAGTAGTGGTGTCTACCCCACACCTCACGATGAAGTTCCCAGGGAACGCCGGTAAAGTCATCTCCGTCAGGGCGAACCAGAAAACAGCTCGGCAGTGCTATGCCGAGAGTTTGAAGGTCTCACCATCCGAGGAGCGCCACAAAAGTGACCCTCCTACCGTGGCTCATATCACCCACGTGGACATCACCGACTTAGATCCGAGGTCGGACTCTCATGAAGAACGGCCGACTCCCATTGATGAGCTCGATGACCTCCAGATCAGCAAACTCCCTGGACAGTGCACCAAAATCAGTAGGCAGCTAAACCCGGAGTTGCGGCGATAGCTTGAGGCTGAAATTTCTAAGAACGTCGACCTTTTTGCATGGTCCAGCGCTGACATGCCAGGTATACACGCTAACCTTATTTGTCACAGGTTATCAATTCACAAGGAGGAAAAACTAGTAGCCCAGAGAAAGAGGAAGGTCGGCAGTGAGAGGCGAGAGGCCATCATTGCCGAAACGCAAAAATTGCAGAACGCGGGCTTCATCCACGAAGTCAGATACACCACATGGCTGGCGAACGTGGTACTGGTGAAAAAGAGCTCGGGGAAGCCAACACGTCTGTGTCGATTACACTAACTTGAACAAAGCATGCCCCAAGGACTCGTACCCCTTGCCGAGCATCGACAAGATGGTCGACGGCGCATCCAAGCACGCCCTCCTTAGTTTCCTAGATGCTTACTCCGAGTACAACTAGATCATGATGTACCCACCAAACGAGGCGCACACGTCGTTCATCACCGACCACGCCAACTTTTGCTACCGGTGATGCCCTTCGGCCTAAAAAACGCAGGGGCCACTTACCAACGGCTGATGGACAAGGTTTTCCACCAACAGATCGGGAGGAACATAGAAGTCTATGTCGACGCCATGGTGGTGAAAACCACCTCAGCTGAAGGTCATGCTGCCGAACTAGCCGAGATGTTCAGCCAGATCATGAAACACAACATGCTCCTCAACCCAGAGAAGTGCGTCTTCAGCATCCAAGGAGGTAAGTTCCTGGGCTTCATGATCACCATCAGGGGGATTGAAGCCAACCCGGAGAAATGCAAAGCCATCATCCAGATGTAGATCCCCCAGACTGTGAAAGACGTCCAACGCCTGGCAGGAAGGTTGGTCTCTCTTTCACGCTTTATCCCCAGGTTGGCGGAGAAGGGAGGGCCCATCTTCACCCTGCTATGAAAGCCAAAAAATTTTGAGTGGACGGACCAGTGCGAGGAGGCTTTCAAGAGATTCAAAACCTTGCCACGACTCCGCCAATCCTTCAGAGGCTGGATCACCAGGTCGACCTCCTCCTCTATTTGGCTGTGGTAGAAGGCGCGATCAGCGTAGTTATAGTGCAAGAGCACCAAAAAATGTAGACGCCTGTCTATTTTATCAGCCGAGTTCTCCAAGACACGAAAAAACAGTACCAGATGATTGAAAAGCTCACACTGGCGCTTGTCATTGCAGCTCGGCATCTCCGACCTTACTTCCAAAGCCACCAGGTGGTTGTCAAGACCGACTACCCAATCAAGCAAATCCTGAGAAAGCCAGAGCTCGCTAGGCAGATGATAGGATGGTCGGTAGAATTGTCTGAGTTTGGCATCCAGTACGAATGTCGCGGCGCTCTGAAAGCTCAATGCCTAGCCGACTTCGTAGCCGAACTAACGCCAAGCTCGGTCAATGAACCACAGGTATGGACTTTACATGTTGATGGGTCCTCCAACTCTAAGGGTGGTGGTGCAGGTATCATGTTAGAAGGACCGAATCAAGTCACTTTAGAGCAGTCCCTCAAGTTTGGCTTCAAGGTGACCAACAACCAAGCAGAATATGAGGCGCTTCTCGCGGGGCTAAGGTTGGCTCGCAACCTTGGAGCACGGAGAGTGAGTTGCAACACCGACTCAAAACTCATGGTGGAACAGCTCAGCGGGCGTATTAGACCAAGGCCACCTTACTGTAGAGGTATTTTCATCTAGCCACCCAACAAATCTCCTTCTTCGACGAGTTCACAATCCACCATGTACCCCAGGAGCAAAACGTAAGAGTCGACCTCTTATCCAAGTTTGCTAGCATGAAGCGTCCCAGACAACACCGGACCATCATACAGGAGACCTTACATTCACCTAGCTTGGATGACAAGGTCGTCAACACCAGTGATGACGGGGAACAAGGATGGATGACAGGCATTTGGAATTACTTAAAAGAAGGAATCCTGCCCGAGGATAAGGATAAAGCTCGGAGGATGAGGGTGAGGTCAGCTAAGTTCGTAATCGTCGAAGACGAGCTGTTCAAACGCGGCATCTCCGCCCCATTGCTTAAGTGCTTGACCGCACCTCAAGCTTCTTATGTCATCGAGGAGATCCATCGGGGAATATGTGGTATGCACTCCGGAGCATGCTCAATGGGGACCAGAGTACTCCGAGCTGGATACTACTGGCCCACATTGAAGTCAGATTGTCAAGCCTACATGCAAAGATGCAAGGAATGCCTACAGTTCGGCAATACACATCAGCAACCACCCGAAGCCCTTCACTAGATGATGTCATCCTGACCTTTTTCCCAGTGGGGAATGGACATCCTCGGACCATTCCTCCCCCGCGAAAGGTCAACTCAAGTTTCTTCTGGTGGCAATTGACTACTTCACCGAGTGGATCGAGGTGTGCCCACTCGCCAAGATTACCGCCGAAAATGTACAAAGATTTACTTGGAAGAGCATCATATGCAGGTTCGGCATCCCTCATTCCCTCGTTACCAACAACGGCAGGCAGTTCATCGCACAAAGCTTTGAGGACTTCCTCCGTGAGCTCGGTATCAAACACCTCCTGACCTCGGTGGAGCACCCCCAGACCAATGGCCAGGCCGAAGCTGCCAACAAGGTGATACTTCGAGAGCTCAAGAAACGGCTAGGAAACGCCAAAGGACAATGGGCCGACGAACTCCCCAGCATCCTCTGGGCGTACCATTGCACCCCCCAGTCAACAACGCAAGAAACGCCTTACAGGCTAACTTACGAAGCTGACACAATGATCCCAGTTGAAGTCGGGGAGACATCTCATCGATGCCAAGTTTTTGACAGCGAGCAGAACGATCAGGAGATAGCAGCTGACCTTGACTTGATCGACGAGTTCATAGAGGAAGCTCAGATCCATGAAGAAGCCTGTAAACTCTGAGCTTCAAGAAGGTATAACACACGAGTTCGACCTCCCTCTTTTCGAGTTGGCGACTACTTGGCGACGCCCGTAGAGATTCATCAGAAGGAAAACTTGCACTGAACTGGGATGGTCCATTTAGAATGATAGAAGGAAGTAGGAGAGGTGAAGAATGGACTCCTCCTTGACTCCTCCTAGGCACGGATCCTCTTCAATGGAGATGAGACCGAGATGATGAACACCTTAGAATGAAGAACACTTGCGGAAGGTAAGGTCTAGACCTTAGAGGGAAGCATCCAAGCTCAAGCGCTCAAGGGATTGCACACTTCAAAGAGAAGGAAACTAGGTTTTCCTAAGGAATTGAAGGCACTCTCTATGGCTCTCTCTTAGAAATTCGGTGACTCTTGAAAGATGGCTGAAATCAATTCAGAAATCTCATATATCAAAAGTGTTTACAAATGACTAGAAGGAACACTTAAGTAAGCTCTACGGAAATGCACTTTTGGCGCCTAAACACAAAGCTACTTGTGGCGCCTAAAATTTGAATTCAAACTTGAAATTTGAATTCAAATTTTTGGCTCACAAGTACATGGCCGTGAGTTTTGGTGATAAGGTGCATTTAGGTCTGATTTGGAGGTCATTTAGGGTTAATTTGAGTGTCACATGTTCAGCCACCAATGGTGCAAAACATGTGACTCAAATGTAACTTAAATGGCTTCCAAATTAAACCTAATTTAACCTAATTAGCCTACTTTAGTATTCCTTGTATTTTCCTAATCTAATGACCTAAATACATTGGTCAAACAAATACAATGGAAAGGAAAAAATACAAGAATGAAAATGAGCCCAATATTGGGTACCAAAAGCCCAAAGGCCCATGAAGCCCAAAACTAGGCCCAACTCTAACAAAAATATAATAAGAATTTTAATAACAAGATAGGCCCATGTTGAAACTTGTTTTGGGCCTTCCAAGCCCATAAGGCCCATTGGGCCTTGACTGGCCCAATCTTCCCTGTCTAGCCCACTCCTCTTGGATCTTTGAGTGTGTCTCCTCTTGCATTCCCAAGTATGATTCCATCACAGAATCACTGAAAACTTAGAAAATGGGGCTTACCGGCTAGAAGAGCTTGGTGGCAAACCCATCCCACGAACTTGGAATGTCACGCATCTCAAGTTCTACTTCAGTTGAAATTGTAAGAATGAGCTGTGCACTCGTTTCCCGCCCCAGTCTTTTGTCCCAAAAAATAGAAAAATGGGTTTTGGCTGAGAGGGTTTTTAACGAGGCACACCCGCAATATTAATAAAATGACTCATTCCTTCTCTATTCATACTCTATTAACTTTACATTTTATCATCAAATGCTTCGCGTTAAGCCGAGGTCGAGTTCGAACCTTGGCACAATTCGTTTTACTTTAAATCGAGGTCGAGTCCGAACCTTGATACGATTCATTTTACTCTAAGCCGAGGTCGAATCCGAACCTCGGTACGAAACCATAAACCAAGGTCGAGTTCGAACCTTGGCAAAATCCATTTTACTTTAAGCCGAGGTCGAGTTCGAACCTTGGCACAATTCATTTTACTTTAAACTGAGGTCGAGTCCGAACCTTGATACGATTCATTTTACTCTAAGCCGAGGTCGAATCCGAACCTCGGTACGAAACCATAAACCAAGGTCGAGTTCGAACCTTGGCAAAATCCATTTTACTTTAAGCCGAGGTCGAGTTCGAACCTTGGCACAATTCATTTTACTTTAAACTGAGGTCGAGTCCGAACCTTGATACGATTCATTTTACTCTAAGCCGAGGTCGAATCCGAACCTCGGTACGAAACCATAAACCAAGGTCGAGTTCGAACCTTGGCAAAATCCATTTTACTTTAAGCCGAGGTTGAGTTCGAACCTTGGCACAATTCGTTTTACTTTAAGTCGAGGTCGAGTTCGAACCTTAGGCACAATTCATTTTACTCTAAGCCGAGGTCAAATCTGAACCTCGGTACGAAACCATAACCCAGAGTCGAGTTTGAACCTTGAGGTGAAATCCTAACCCAAGGTCGAATCTGAACCTTGGTACGCATCATCCTATACTAAGCCAGGATCGAATTCAGACCCTGGTGCTAGTCGCTGCGCACAAAGTATAGAACCAATTTTGAACGCGTTTTAAAACTGTAGGAATGGGTTAAAACTAAGCCTAAAGCCGAATTTCATTTCACACGCAAACAAAAGGTCGACATAGAACCATAAAAAACGCAAAGGTGAAAACCCAGGAAAATTATATACACACAACAGATTTTACGAGTTCACAACATGAATCCAACAGGAAAAAGAAATAAACTAAGCTATTACAAAGCCCAAATGGCCTAAGCAGAGGCATTATCACTTGAGCTATCCTGGAGGTCGTCTTCTCTCACCAGCTTTCCAAAGCGCACCTCCTTCTCCGCATGCATAGCGGAGAGGTTGACCCCGGGCGCAAGTAGCCTCGCCTGGCAAGCTGCCTTGAGGAATCCCTTTTTATGCTTGAACAGGACAGCTCGCTCAATTTCGACGAGCTTCTTCTCTAGCTCCGCCTTCGCCGCAGCCATCTTCGCGAGGTCCACCTTCAGAGCGACGACCTCCTCTTCTTTCCCACCGAGAAACACCTCGTCACAAAGATGCTTCTCGGTCGCTACCACCAGATCCGCCTTCAGCGAAGTTACCTCATCCTCCAAGGAACGCACCCGACCCTGGGATGAAGTGGCGAGTTCTTGTAGCTCACCCACTTGGGCAGCATAAGTCTCATTAGACCTCAGAGCAATCTCTAAGGACTTTTGAACTCTCTCCAGCTCCCTCCTGGTGGCCTGAAGCTTGGCATCACCGAGGGCAACCACCAAGGCCTTGTTCTCTTCCTTCAAAGGTTGGAATCGGCCTTTCAGCTTCGTCAAGTCCTCCTGTTGCTTGGACCACTTGTGCTTCCAATGGTCCACGATGGCCATTGTCCTCTACAAGAAGACCTCAGCAGAATCAAGGCCTTCCACTGGCCCGGCCATCTCGATCATAGCCCGATCAGCCGAGCTTAGCGAACCCTTGGGGATGAACTTCTCTGAGGTTACCCCCGCGCTCCACAGTGAATCTATGTCTTCCGAAGCGCTCACATGGTCCAACCGCACCTGAGAGCGATCCTTCCCAAAGCGCTGGGCGAGGTATTGGCTCTTAGGGGCCCCCCTCGACGGGCCAGACGGTGGCACCGAGGCCGCAGGAGTAGGTGTCAGGACCTCGAAGCTCGGCCCCTTGCTGCGGGCCTCGACAGAAGCAGAAGCAGGCGCCTCCTGCTTGCCAACGGGGGTGCCCGCCCCTGGTACCTCCGAGCTCGAAGCCACCCAGACCTCAGCAGCATTCCTCGCCTACAAAAGATAAAAATTCCTTCCTGTCAGAAATCAAGAAAATGGCAATATAGAAGGAAAACCACAAAGAAAGGCACCAACCTCGGCGGCCTGGGCAACCTCCTCGGCGGCCGCTTGGGGAGCTCCCTCGGGCGGAGGACTCCTAGTGAGGTCAACCGCGCCAGCATCGGCAGCCTTCAAGGTCACCTCCTTGGTGCCTTGAGGAGCTGAGGTCCCCCCGACCTCCTTCTCTACTCTCTTTCTTTTTCGACGGGTCTCTAAGGGGGCCACCTCTGTTGAGCTTAGGAGAGCTTGAAGCTTAAAGGAGTTTTCTCAAATTATACATTTATATTTAGATAACATGCAAAATTTGTCTATTTTTCATAGGATTTCCCATAGGAACCCACGAAAATCTCAAATCATATAATTACAATTTTAAAACTGAAATTAATCATTCATTCAAGCAATTCATACAATTAATTACATACAAAAGGAACAATAGATGAAACAGATATAATTGGGGAAACCTCTTCATACATGAGCATACAACAAACACAAGATTGGAGGCCAATCCCACTGTCCAACATACATTCCCACACCCAAAGCAAGGTTTCTCACTCCCCCCTTACCTCGATAAGCAGGAGCTGAAACCAAAACAGGATCTTGCTGATCTCCTCCTCTGAGTTCCCCTTGGTCTTCAGAGAGTATAGAAGAAAAGAGGTCAGAAGTGAAAAAATGTCTTTTTGGAGTGCCAAAACGTTCTATTTATAGGCATCAGTAGTTGCTAGAACAACCCGTTTCAAATCTGGAATGGCCCGTTCTGGACTCATACTTCATGTCCAAAATTCACATTTGGAACGGTCCGTTCCATAATCAGAACGACCCGTTATGGATATGAGTTTCAACTCACAACAACCACATTTGGAACGGTCCGTTCCCAAATCGGAATGGCCCGTTCCGGGTTCGAGGTTTACTCAAAGAATCATGTGTTGGAACGACCCGTTCCAACCTAGTCTTTTTAGGCCATTTTAGTAGTCTGGAACGGCCCGTTTTGGGCTACTAAAAAAATCACAATATTATCCAAAATAATTCTCATAAATATTTATTATTAAAATACTCATAATTATTAAAAACCTTTAAAGCATTCTATAAAACCCATTAAAATATGTATAAGAAAATAACCTCCATAAATATAAAAATAAACAATAATTAACTATTATACTAGTAGAAAATTCGAGGATTCGGCAAATATTTTTCTTGTTTCCTTTCTCATATAGTCATATCATTCCTCTCATGTTTTTATTAGGAAAGTGATTCCAATGCAAAATATCTATTCTAATTTTTGTAAGGGTGTCCTTTTGCATTTGGTTATCAGGGAAACATTAGAGATATATTCTGAAGATATAAGGGAAGTTACAATTTCTCTTGTGAAGTTCATTACTATGTCTTTGGGGCTTCAAGACACACAGATATCAGAAAGTTTCCGAGAAGGACTATATGAAATAAGGATGAATTGCTACCCACCCTGTCCAGAGCCTGAAAGGGTACTTGGGATTGTGCCCCATGCTGACAATTCCGGGATCACTCTTTTGCTTGATTGTGCTGATTTTCCAGGGTTGCAGTTCCTCAAAGATAAAAAATGGGTCAATGTTGAACCTATAGAAGGGGCCATTGTTGCAAACATTGGCCAAATTATTGAGGTTAGTACTTAATTGTGACTCGTTAGGCAGCACATTCAACCTCAGATAGATGATTGCAGGTTTGTTACCGATCAATTAAATGGATATAGCAATAGCATTGTTGCATTATATGTGATCTAGAATTGCCATCACATTTTGTGATTTGAAAAATGAGATTTAGTCAAGGAAAAAATTTACACTGATCAGAAATCATTATTCGTATGATTCGTAAGATAGTTATTGTGAAAAATAAAAAACAATAAACTTACCAAACACAACAGTTAGTAACTAGGAGTCTATTTAGATATAAATTAAAAGTGTTTGAGAGGTTTCTCTACTAAAAAAAGTTATTTATTTTCAATAGAAAAATTCTCAAATTTTTTTTTATTTGTATTCAAACAGACTCTAGATGTAACACTTGGAGTGCATACCCTATTTAATCAAAAATTAAAACAAAAAGCTTGAGTGTGTTGGTTGTTTTTCCATTATGCAGGTGATGAGCAATGGGATATACAAAGCACCTGAGCATAGAGCTGTAGTAAATAAGTTGAAGGGGAGGTTTTCAATAGTGACATTCTGCTATCCAAGCCCTCACATGGCTATTGGACCTTCTGACAAGCTTATAGGAGAAGGAAATGCAGCTATATTCAAGAAATTGACACATGCAGAGTATTTCAGCAAGTTTTTCAATAGGGACCTTGATGAATTGTTTATTGATAGTCTGAGAGTATGATCAATGATGTGATTTCTATAGTGCTCTACCAACTGAGCTATATCGCCCCGAACCAAGTCAGTTTGCATGTTTGCAGATGCTGACTGAGATTGCTCACAAGCCTCTAGAATGAACTGATTATGTTTATGATACCAAACTCATAACAGTAGGGCTACAGCCAGATAGACTGTAGTTTTAGAGTTTTGTAGGCATTCTGTACATATGTGCATGGCATTTGGAAGGAATGAAGTCAAGGTGAAGGGCTACTTTACACGGTTTGGACACATTTTAAGTGCACTGATGGATACACTGTTTGCTTTGGACTGAATGAAAAGATACTATTAGCATGGACTGAATGAAAAAGTGTCAATGTTTGCTTTATGGTTCAACACGTTTTTCCATCAATGAAATGGTCCTTAAATTCAACATAATTCATATGTAAAAGAATCATGAATCAAGAGCTTCTTGATCTTGGTTAAAATTCATATGGATACTTGGTTGATTTTTTATATTGACCAAGGTTGTTATTTCTCGATATATATTGCATTCATTGATTGCTTTCTATAGTTGCTTTGCATCTATAAAAATTTTACTATACCACAGTTTTCACAGCAATATTTAGAACTTGGAACCTGTCTTTGCTGTGCAAATTAAATTACATTGTAAACTCATTCGTATTTAGAATAAAGGCACGCTTAAATTTTCACTTTAAGAAAATCAAACAATTAGTTTATTCAACAAAAAGAAACTCCGGACATAGGAAGAAAAAATATGAATGGAAAAAATAACCAAGTTCTACATCAATATCAATACTAATAATTAAACCAATGACAAGCAAGACAAATTCAATCCAACTTAAATAGTTTCAAGTCATTCAACCCCCATCCCTTCTAATAGGTTTGAAACAATCAAGATCAAAATAAGCTGAGGAATGAAATCATGTATATGACCACATCTTTCATTACCCATATTGAACAGAAAAGCATTGCAGATTCTTTCTTTTTGTGTATCATTACTGTTGTTCGTCTTCACTTGGTTTCTAATAGTCCCCGGGGAGTGATAGCAAACTTTCTCTATACAAAGTACAACGTCCAAAACCAAGTTTGTCAGTGTAGTCACAATACTCAAGCACCTCACCTTTGTAGTTAAGTCTCAACAACATTTTATCGACATTTAATACCAAAATTTCCCCATTTTTTGTCAAACTTATCGGGTAATTTAGAGGGGTCACGCGTGCACGATGAGTGGATAGAACAAATAACTTGATCCAAGATGACTCCACTTTGTATTCCTTCATCACCCACATTTCAAGCTTTCTCCCATCAAATACGGAACTGAAACAAAAACACAGACACTCACCTATTCCCTTCAAAGGATATATTTGTCTCGTAAATGCAATGCCTAAATCACGTGGCACTGGAATCTCTGATAACCTCTTTTCTCTCATATCAAACGCAATAATCACATCAACACGGTTTATCGACTTAACCAACCAATGAAGAGCTCCATTCAAAAACTCTCCGTATCTGAATTCTTCACCATCAAGATAATACAATCATGAAACTCGTGCTCCATGAATTGGTTCTGAGAGAGAAAAAATCAACCACCGTGCGTTGTAGAGCAAATGTTGTAACCACTATCACATAGTCATCACTTGATGAGTCATACGCAACCCCATATAGTGGTGGAGCCACGGACATAAATTCTAATTTCCTCAACCAATATGGCTGTAGCATCAATCCATGATATTTAATTTGTTTCTGAATACCCGTTGACGGATTCCATATTACAAAATTTAAAACATCCCTTTCTGCGTTGGCTTCCAAAAGTATAAATCCTCCACAAGAACCCACAATGTTTACCTCGCAATAAGGCAGTGATGGAAGAGGAATATTGAACACTACTTTGGCAGAATTATCATGAAATGGTGTCTCCATGTCTATAGAGCTAAATTCATTATTGGTAACAAAATTTAAAAGTCTATGAGTGGGTGCAGCGGCTAAGTCAAAATGAGATTTAGTAAATTGAGGATTGGAAATAAGAAAAAACCATAACTTACAAACACATTTGGAACGCAAGAGAGATTTGACTGGTAGCCTTAACAGAATATTTGTGATCAACTCAATAGGGAAAAAGACGTTCCTCTTCATCTTCTTTGCCAGCAACCAAGTGTTCAAAGATGTACTGAGTATAGTCCAAACCAAAATATATAAAGGTGGAGTAGGGTTTTCTATTTCTGTTACAGAATAATTATACGGTCAATATTTTTTTTTTTAAACATTGGGAGGATATAATATTCCATTAAAAAGTGATTACATCTTCTAATATCTTTTTTATAATAGATATAGATGTGCAAATCTGCAATCAGACTAAGATTTTATCAATTTTTTCATTTTATTTTACAAAAACTATATTGAACCTTTAGTGTTTATTGAGGTTTAAATATTATGGAAATTAACCAAGTTTTGATTTCAACATGTAATTTTTTTTATATCTTTTTAAAATTTGTAAACATTATTTTAGTTTCTACAAATCAAATATTTTTTTTATCCTTATCAATGATTTTAATATTTTTTTTAAAAAAATTATCTCTCTAAAATCATTATTTTTTTTATTCCTATCAATAATTTTAAGGTATATAAATAATATTTATTTTAAGGATTTATGAAACCTTTTAAAAGTGTAACATACTAACATGGTATAACTAATAGTTGTGGATAACAACTCATATGGTGACTTTTTAATAAACAAATAAGTAGTTAAAAATAGTTACATAATAGTGAAAACTAAAAACAATAATATTGTTATATTTTAGTGGGATGAAAAACAAAGAAATTATTTTACAAAAATCAAAATATTTTTTTTTTCATCTTATAAGAACTAAATATATTTAAGTCTTTTATTAATCCTTTATTATGATATGTTTGGTTAGATGGAAAAAAATAAGAAGGAAAGAAAACACGGATCATGATATGTTCTCTTTTATTTAGTTGGAGAGAATAAAAAGAAGAAAAAATATCATATAATAATTTTATCCAAATTTTTTTATCATAATGTACATCAAACATTAAATTAAATTAAAATTTATCTTATTCTTATTTTATTCTGCTCTCACATCATATTTTATCTTATTATGAACACCAAACAATGTAACACTCTAATTTTTTATACTTTATATAAATAATATTTTTAAAATTATTTTAATATTTAATGTATTTATTTTAGAGTTTTGATATTATTTAATTAATTATATGAGTTTTATCTTATTTATGAGACATGATTTATAATGATTATTTTGATTAGTGATAAATAATTAACTTTTATGAAATATATTTTATTCATAATACGTAGTATTTATTTTAATATTTTTATGTGTTTATTAGAATAATTTTTAATATTATTTAGCTATTTGATATGAGCTTTATTTTTTATATAAAACATATGTTGTTTTTACTAAAATGGATAAGTATATTTTATATTATTTATCTATTTTATATGAGCTTTATTTAAAATATAAAACATGATTTTTAATTAGTATTTTGATTAATTGATATGGAATGTATTTTTACGAAAATATATTTTAATAAGAGTTATGTTTATGTTATTTATTAAAAAGTAGGAAATATGTTTTAATTATTTTAATTGTTTTATGAGAAGGGAAAGAAGGGTGTGTTAGTCTTTTGTTTATTATTATTATATTTTTCTCATTTCACGCTCTCACTTCTCATTCCTTATTACGTGCTCTCTGTTATGTGCTATGAAGAACAAGAAGAATCAGGAGAGGAATAATCGAACTCTGCTCGTGCTTCATCTTCCAATTAACAAGGTAAGGGGGAGTGAGAAACCTCACTCGGGGTGTAGAAATAATTGACTTTCAATCCTCTGTGGGTCCCTACGAGAAACCTATGAGGAACTGATAATTTCGAAAATAGATAAGTTTTAAGCTATGTTTGAAGGTGCTAATGGTGTGAGAATTGTCTTATTATGGTGTTGATGCAAGTGGTGTATATATTTTTATGAGTATGATGAGGACAAGAATCTCCAAATGATGATCTTATGAGTATGACTATGAGAAATGCGAAATGTGAGCAAGTGACATGAGACATGATGTGATATGATATATGAAATGTTGAGTCTATGAATTTGTGAATGTGTGACATGCATCATGCGTTTATGTGACGGGATACGATATGGAGTATATCATTAGGGAAAACCCTCTAAGTGTGAAACATCTTGGAGGAGTCCTAGGGGATAACGCTGTTTGTGTGCATGAGATATGTGACTGGTACCACATGCATGCATTTAAGAGTTGAGTCCATGACATCATTGCATGATAAATGAATGTGCATGCTGTAACATCCCGAATTTTCTACTAGTATAATAGTTAATTACTATTTATTTTTATATTTATGGAGGTTATTTTCTTATAGTTATTTTAATGGGTTTTATAGAATGCTTTAAAGGTTTTTAATAATTATTAGTATTTTAATAATAAATATTTATGAAAATCATTTTCGGTTAATATTTTGATTTTTAGTAGCCTAGAACAGGCCGTTCCCAAACTGGAACGAGTCGTTCCACACTACTAAAATAGCCTATAAAGGATATATTGAAACGAGACGTTCCAACACATAATTATGAGTAAAACATGTTTATTTTTAAAATTAAACACATATTTACACTCCGCAAATATCAAGGAACATAATAGAAAACTCAGGAGATAAAACAGAAAACATTTGCATTTTGCCTGTTTCTCATAGGGTTTCCCGTAGGAACCCATAGAGATCTCAAATTATACATTTATATTTAGATAACATGCAAAATTTGTCTATTTTTCATAGGATTTCCCATAGGAACCCACGAAAATCTCAAATCATATAATTACAATTTTAAAACTGAAATTAATCATTCATTCAAGCAATTCATACAATTAATTACATACAAAAGGAACAATAGATGAAACAGATATAATTGGGGAAACCTCTTCATACATGAGCATACAACAAACACAAGATTGGAGGCCAATCCCAACTAGAACGACCCGTTCTCAGCTACGATTTTCTGGCCATTTTAATAGCTTGGAACGGCCCGTTCTGGGCTACTAAAACACCAAACTGCTACGTCACAATACCCCCCAACAAATAAGAATTTTTGTCCCTGAAAATAGGCTTACTTGGGAATAGAAACGGATACCGCTCCCTGCACTGCTGCTCAACCTCCCCAGTAGCCACACCAGTAGTTGTATCCCACAACACCTTCACCAGAGCAATGGACTTTCCCCTTAACTCCTTCAACTTATGATCAACCACAGCTACTGTCAACTCCTCATATGTCAGATTCTCCTTCACCCGTACATCATCCGGCTCCACCACATGACTAGGGTCATGAACATACTTCCTTGGCTGGGATATATGAAATACATCGTGTAGGTTTGAAAGAGACGGTGGCAAAGCCAACCGATAAGCAACCGGACCCACACGCTATAAGATCTGATAGGGACCAACAAATCTCGATGTCAACCTACACTAGAAGCCGAGGTCACCTTCAGAAACACATGTTTCC